TAACTGTTCGTAGTGTGAATTAAAACACGCACTGGTTAATTAACGAACTAAACTATTTATTTAATAACTTAACTACACTTAAAACACTATAAAACTAACTAAACACTTAACTACTAATTATTTATATCACTACTAGTTTATTTATTTGCACTTATATTTATTTATTTCTTCGCGCGTACCAAAGATCAACTGACTGCTCTGTGTTGCTCCGTTCCTTATATATTCAGCGCCCAAGTATTCTGGAACATTCCAGCGAGCTCCACACTCTCGATTATTCGAGCGCTGAGTCACCGGCGATGACTCACCGGCAATGACTAATCGGCGATGAGTCATCACTCCGATATCCAGGGCGGTACTCGCTACAATATTTTATTCATAATATTTATTAATTTATACTTTCAAAGAAGTTACATTATAAGAATACACGGTATCCAACTGACGCCATACAACATGAATGATATTATAGGGCATACAAAAATACCGATTTTAAATTATTTAGCATAAAAGTTTCAAAAACTCGGCAACAGTCAAAATTTTAAACTTGGTGTTTGAATCGTCATGGGATAATTGTTTTTATCTACTCCTTTTGCATAATTTTGGGGTTTTTCGTGAATATTGTTAAACATTATAAATTTCCTGTCTAACAACGTGAATAATAAACTCATTATTCACGTTGCTAAGCATCCGTGATTGGCCGATTTCAATATTCACTGTGATTTGAACCAATCGGGTTTTAAATTGGAAGAATGCGACTATAATAACATTTCAAATTGGTAAAAAGTAACCTTTTGACAGATGTCAGATTTATTAAATTTTAAAAATCATTTAATTATCTACTTACTGGTGTAATACTATACTTTATTACACTCGGGATTATGCGCAATATTCACTGGGATGATTTAGGTCTAGTCTGGCGACTCGAGACGTAAACCTCATCCTCGTAAATATTAGCCTGCATTATCTCTCGTATAATAATATACTATTATCTAATCGTATCTACTCATATATATACTATAATATAATAAAATACTATTATCTACTCCTATTGCAATTATTGAGCCGCGCCTCACAACGGAAATAATTAATAGGGTTTAGGGTCGAAAAAAAAACAGGAAATTGGGGGAAAAACCTGTTTTTTTCCGTTTTTTTCCCAGGCCTTGGAAAAATGTTCTTTTTTGGGAAAAATTGAGTTTTTTTTGGAAAATATACACATTTGAAAAAAAGTGGCAATCAACAAGATAACAGTATTTTAAATAAAAAAAATTCTTTATTACAAAAAAAACTTAACATTAAATTAAATTTAAGAAAATAAACGTAAACGTGTAATATACTGTCTGTTGTTTTTTTTGTTGCAAAAGTCCATTAAAAATATCTAACTATAAAATAATGAATTATAAGTTTTAAATAAAAGATAATATAGCACCGAATATGTTTAAATAAAAAATTTTGAGTAATACAATAAAATAAAAATAAAATATCACAAAATTATAATTTTTATAATTATAATATTATATGATATCAGTGTACGGATACTTTCCGTAAAAATTTGGAAATTTTCAAAAAAAAAAATTGTATTACCCTTTGAATAAAATTTAAAACATTAAAATGTCAATTTTACTAAAAATTTCCCAATTTTTCCTTTTTTTTCGAAAAAAAGCGGTTTTTTTTCTGCCGGCTCAATTTTTCCGGAAATTTTAGAAGCCTAATAATGATCTAAATTATTTTGTTATTTTTAGGGATTAAAATGTTTTAAATAATATTGATATACAGGGTTTCCCAAAATCACCGGACCAAACGAAACGGTTCAATTCCTTGCGAAAATCTAAGACGAAATTTTTTTATAATTTTTTCTAATTCGCAAAATTGAAGGAGTTATTTAATTTTTGAGGCCTTCAATAAGGGTTTTCAAAATTAGTAGTATAACAAAATAATTTCTCTTAAAATTTTAGGTCGAGTTTTTATTTACCATTTAAAATGGTCCATTTTATCGAGTTTTTTTTAATTTTTAAGGCTGTAAATGAAATAGCAGTCTTTCTATAGGGCGAGCCGCGCCTTTTGACAGCGTTTTACTTTTCTCAATGAATAATAATGAATGTCAGCGTCTTTTGAAGACAATAAAAATATTACAACAACCGATAGTCCGATAGTCATTTTATATCATTTTAAATTTGTATTATTTTTTTTGAAAAGAAATATTAAAAATTTAAAATGGTATAAAATCTGTATAATTTTGATTTTTTAAATGAAATTTGAAATTTGTCAATAAACAATGGTAAATAATAAATTTCACCAATTAAATTTTAATTATATTTATTGGGGTGCCATGGGGCCGCGGCCGGTACGGCCCAGCATAAAGTTATCTTTTTTCAATTTAAATTCTGCTTGCGCAGAACTTGTTTATTAATGCCATTATAAACTCATATAAATTTGGTGTTGGTCCCATATCTAATAATTGAGATATCGTTATACCCAAAATCCACCAGCCGCCACTGGTACCCAGACAACCCTATTTACAACAAATATCTACACGCTTAATTAAGTGACTTAATTTCAAACAAGTGGATGTGTAAGTAGGCAGAAAGGATCGGGTAGAATATTAATTTCAGTAGACAAACAAATAGAAATAGTCGGTTTTGTCGTCAATATATATATGATATAGCAAAATCAACTGTTAGAAAATATTTAAAAATTAACTAATTTCATACCTATAAATTAAAAATATTACTTCAAAAAACTGAAGATGAACCGGATCGCAAAGTAAAATTTTGTGAAGTTATATGTGAGCGCATAATACAAAATCCCCTGTACTTGTAATTAATTTGTTTTTCTGTTCAATGCATGTTTTTCCTAAATGGCACTGTAAATCACAAAATGTACGTAACTGGATGTATGTTTTTCGTGATTGTCATACCCAGTACCCACAAAAAGTCAATGTATAGGCGGGAGAACTGGAAAACCATCTTTTTGGAAGGAAATATAACAGGCATCTTGTACTTAAACATGCTTCAAATACAAATTCATCCAATGATTTAAGATATAGTTAAAGTTAATTCTGAGGAATTTGGCAACAAGATGGAGCCGCAGCACATTATTTTTGGGATGTTAAACAGTGGCTTGAAAACAAAAATTTGATTTGATAATTAAATGTATTTTTTTTTCTTGTTTTTTTTATTGTGGAAAACAGGTACATATGTTAAATGTGCATATATAACAAGTTATTGTAAAATATATGTAAAAATGTGTATGTGTAACATAAAGCATTTGTACTTAATAAATTTATTAAGTACAAATGCTTTATTTATTATTTATTTATTTATACTATCACAGTTGTATCACAGGTCTTCATTTCTCTTGCTTATTATGTGTTAAAGTACCATTTATTTGAATTTGCTCTCTGGTGTTTTTTTTAAGTTTTCTGGAAGTTGGTTGTATAATCTCGCTCCTTCTGATGTTATTCTAGTCTCTTCCATTGATGCATAATTTTTAGCGTTTCAATCTGTCTTAGTTGCCCAGAACGGTATAAGGTAAGTTAATCTTGACTTAATATAAGCTGGTAGACTATGTCTTGTTTGGATAGGGTATCACTTAAATTGTAGGCTAGGGATAAATAAGAGGCCAGTGTCGTTAATAATTGTTGTATGTGATCTTTCCAGTTTAGTCGTCTGTCGATTATAAGTCCCAGGTATTTTATTTATTGTACTTCCTTTAGGCTTTGACCATTTAGTTTTATTGTGAGATTGCGTGCCTTTGGTCTTTTTTCTATGTGAATTATGTAGCATTTTTTTCATTGTGTCAAAAAGTTAGTGTTTGTCCACATCACATGCCATTAAGGTTGAGTTTGCAAATGTCGTTTATGTAGATTATGTACAGGAAAGGGCCAAGTATTGACCCTTGTGGAACTCCGAAGTTGATGTCTTGCAAATTACTTTTTATATTTCCAAGGGGTTGTGTACATTTTTCTTTCCTTTGTGTATGAGGTTAACAAGTTTAGGGCATTTTTATGTATTCCGGCTTCTTCTAGTTTTCTATGGAGGATAGCTAGGTTTACTGTATCGAATGGGTTTGTGTGAGAAAGTTAATGTTTTCAATGTGTTCAGTCAATCTGTTGTGTATAACTTTTTCAAAGACTTTATTTAGTACGGTTAGGTTTGCTATTGGCCTATAGTTACTTGGGTCTTGCTTATTTCCGCTTTAAATGTTTAATATCTTATCAGCCACTGAACAGATTTAATATTTTAGATATGCTTTGAACAGAGAATAAAAATTCCTTTTAAATGAGGTATCACAAGCCCTTTCTTTCCAATTGAAATTTTTAAGTTGATACTGCCCTCTTGGCACCCTATCAATTTTACGTCAAAAAATAGTATACTTTTAACTTTTAACTTGCGCACTGCGTATAATTATATCCAATTATATAAGAACATATGAAGGGGTAAGAAGCAAAAGGGTACAAGTGCATTTAACATAAAAATAAGTTAAGTGCAGATTTGGGTAGTTTTGAGTCCAAATTCTTTTTAAAAATTTAAAATTTGTTTAACGAGTTCTGCATGTTGATTAATGCAAACATTTAAACAAGTATTCAGATTTTTGTATATAGCAAAAACTTTAGTTAATAACTCCACTTCTCTTTTTGGCACTTGTACCCTTTTGCTTCTTATAAGAATATACCCCTTCATATACAAATGTTTTATAAATAGTATGTAACTAATTATCCAATCAAATGGAATTTTATATGATGTATACAAGTCTATCCAATCATTTTTTCGGAGGTATAATTTTTTTAACAATTTATTTGGGATTCCTGGAGGTCTGTATACCTTTAAGGTGGTGCACGACTTTTGAGACACCCTGTATTTTACTTGCATAGTTTTATGATATAAAATTTTATTTATTGTATAATTTAATTCACCTTTAGGTAAATTATTATTATTATTATTAATTGATTTTTGATGTTCCAATTTATATTTTACATAATAAAATTGTCAATGAACTATTTTCAGATTTTTGACCATAATCCTGGTTACCATAGTAATCGGCGTGACCATCTACGATTTCCATCACGAAGAGCCGCTAAAAAGTAAGTCACCAACTTAAATTATTATTCGTGCATTATTTCTTGTAGAATCACTTTCGTACAGGTTGATGATTACTTTTTCGGCCCGAAAAAACTTCAACGACCTTAGCAAATCCGACGAATCCAACCCTGCATTAACAATTCTCTACGGACTTAGAGCTGTTTCGATTTTGATGATTATTACTGCCCATAGATTTGGAACCTATGTGTCTTCTGCGTTACTGAATTTTGATTACATTGAAACAGTAAGAAATTTGTTAAAAAAAATATTTTTGACGTTTTAAAAAAGGATAAAATTGTGTCAAATATTAGTTAAAAGTAAAAAACTGAAACGATAGTTATAAACAGTAAAAAAACAGTAAAACATAATTTTTGTCAATTTTTTCCACATAAAAAACGTCAAGAATATACAAGTAGGTGCCTTTATTACCTTTATGTTTATTTTTAAAAACCTATGTAAAAATATATATGATATACAGGGTGCTCTAAAATTGGCAACCTAAAGATTAAATTCCTGAAAACGAATTTTCCTATTTTTGCGAATTGAAGTTATTTAATTTTTAAAGCCACCAATGAAATCGCATTTAACTCTATCTGAGTTTTTGTTTTTACAAAAGGCGCTAATAAAACAAAACAAATTCGGTACGTGTTAACGCAAGCGGTAATATTAGTCTGATAGAGCACAAACACTGCGCTCCCATTAGCGACCTTAAAAGTTATTTAACTCCTAAAATTTTTCGAATTCAACAAAGAAAAATTTGTCTTGAAATTTTAAGAGAAATTAAATTTTATTCTTTGAGCCGCCAGTTTTGGGACACCTTGTATATAATAATTTTTCTGTTAATATTTGTAGCAATACCGTTCACTTTTGACAACAATTTTATTTCATGGAGACCTATTCGTGGACACGTTTTTCATTTTGAGTGGAATTTTGGTTGTTTATACGTTACTAAATCAATTTGAGAAGAAAATTATGAATCCAGGGTTTATGATACTTATCAGATATGTTAGGTAAGTTTTTTTAATATAACGGAACCCCACTAATTCTTTGAGCATTTTCCAAATCCACCGGGAACCATTGGCACATTCTCGAAAAATGGTCAATTTCAGAACTAGAGGACTTTATAATTGAACTTTTGAACATTTTGAAAATTCTTAAAAAATTCCCAATATCAATTTTAAAAAATTAAGATATTTTTTAAATTGAATATGCAAATATATTTACATGTTTAAAGTTTGAATAAGTACAACAAATTTAAAAACAACATTTAATTTAGCGATAAATGATAATTTCAAGCTTTTGAGGTTAAACCATCACAAGTTTAGGGTGGAATATTTTTGTGATTTTTATTTTTTAATAATAATAATTTAATAATATATTAATTATTATTAAAAAACATAATATAATATATTATATTTTTTATATATTATAATAAAATTATAATTAATAATAATAAAATAAGTAACATACATGTAATTATTCATAGAATTATGTATGTTTAAATGCATATAATGTTTTCCTGAAAATTGTTTAATAAAATCAATTGATTTAGGGATAACATAAATTAACATAGTTTAACCTAATGCCTCAAAACGTATATCTTAAGTATAAGGAAACATTGTATATTTTTTTTATTAAAATACCCTAAATCAAGACAAGCAATGCCCATTAGGGGTGTCAATCCCGGGATCCCTTAAGAAATCCGATCCCGGAATTTTAGTAGTAAGTTACAAAGAATAAAATATACTTTTTTTTCAAGCGTATGACAATTTTCATATTATAATACTCATATATTATATCACGAGAACTATGAATTTAATCGGTTAAATTAGGCTCAGTAGTTTTTTGTTTGGTTTTTGTTGGAAAATGTTGAATGCAAAATAATTTAATAAAATCACGAGACCGCGTAGCGGTCGAGGGGTTTTATTTTTAAATATTTTGCATGAAACTATTTTCCAAAAAGAAAAATCAAATAAAAAACTTACTGAGCATAGTTTGACAGATTAAATTTATAGGTTGAGTGATATACGTCTAGATTATTTCTCGAATTAAAGGAAACTATTTAACAATTCATAAAATCTGACGTATGTGGGTTATTCTCAAAATAACTACAATCTTTGCGTGACGTGTGTTTTTTTCTCCCATATTAAAAAAAATGGTAAAAATAAGTAACATTTTTAAAGTACACAACGTTAACTAACAGTACTTTAAGTAAAAAAAAGAAATAACGCCCAAAAAACTGATCTGAATAGAGATATTGTCCTTTCCGTGGAACGTGACTATATCGTGTTGGTAAGTTTCAGTTAATGTAGTGAAAAGCCTGCATATTATAAAACCTAAAAAATTGCCATTATTATTAAATACCCCAAAAATACATAGATATGGTTCATATTCCTTTTTATTCTTTTTAATTTAATATTGTAGTTTAGTCATTTATACGTTACCAGTTTCGATCCATTCCGAGGACTTATAGTACAGTCATCTTAGTCAAAAAAAGGGATCAACCTCGGAATCTAACGGAATAAGCTGAATTTTTGTGAAAACCTTTATTTTAGCATTACAAATGTTGTCTCAAAAGTCACATATGCCAACTTGTGAGCGGCCTTAGATATTTAAGGTCAAAGGTCGCAAAAATCAGTTTTTTAAGAATATCTCGTTTTCTCTGCCTCCTATCGTATTTGCATTTATTATAAAAGTTGTAGAGAATAAAATTCTCTACAAATTTTGTTTACAAAATTTTTTTATACGTCAAACCGTTTTTGAGATAGAGGGCGCAGAGTGTGGAGCGCTCAGCCATACGTACCTTTAGCGCAAGGTAAATCGTGAATCCCAATCTATTATACCGTTTTTTTTAATTAATATTATAATAAATATTACTAAAATAAAAATTTAAAACCTTATACTTATTTTTATTTTTATTTTAAATCAAATATATTTTATCTTCATATAGGTATATTTTATCTTCTGTATAGGTATCTTATATTTTAATTTAATTTTAATGAAGGATAATTGGATCGTAGTAGGAAAAAATGTTTTTATTTATATCAATATTATAATTATTATTATTATTATTATTATTATTAATCTTTATCTTCTTCATCCTCATCTTCTTCAGGTTGGCCAGCAATTTCAGACTCATTCTCATCATCACTCTCCTCGTTATCATTGACATTAATTGTCATATCTTCAAAAACTTACTTATAACGCTTTTGTACTTGCAGATTTTTTTGCCTTTGTTGCCTCATCTGCGACTTCACCACAAAATAAGCAAAATATTTTAAAATCAAACACATTCCCTTTTTTACGAGGTACAGTTGATGACGTTGAAGGTTCAGTCTCTTCAAGGCGAGGTTTTGCTGCTGCAATTTTACTATAGTACGCTATAGCGTACAATTTTCGACACTTAATATGAAGGTTCACAGAAGTCAAAGTATTTAGGTAGTTTATGTTTATTTCTCTCAATAATTGCTTCTTTTAAAGTCTTTATACCGCGCACAAAAGTTACAGAATCACCTTCAGAAAGTAACTTATTACAAATAAAACACAAATCAGCCATGTTAACCTTTAAAATATTACGAATATTATCTGTCACAACCCTAGACCTATACCTAGGGTCACAACTTGCTTTAAATATAGGTATACCTAACCTTTTTATTTATAGCAAGCCCGCTATAGTATTTCCAGGTCTGTTATTTTAAAAGCAATATCTGGATCCAAGAGATGACCAGAGACATATTCAAGGCAAATTCATTTAATGTCTTTTCTTCTTAAAATGTATTTATCATTAATTAGAATAACATTAGAATATATTTAGAATGATTCACTTCATTATTTAATTATTTGTATGCTAAAAGTAAGTAATATTTAATGACTATCTGTTTTAAAAAAATATATAAAAATTAATATAAGGTTTTAAATTGTTATTTAAGTAATATTTAATAAATACTTATTTAGAAAACGCTATAATAGATTGCTGATTTACCTTGCGCTAAAGGTACGTATGGCTGAGCGCTCCACACTCTGCGCCCTCTATCTCAAAAACTATTAGACGTATAAAAAAATTATTTAAACAAAATTTCTAGAGAATTTTATTCTCTACAACTTGTATAATAAATGCAAATACGATAGGAGGCAGAGAAAAGGAGATATTCTCAAAAAATTGATTTTTGCGACCTTTGACCTTGAATATCTAAGGCCGCTCACACGTTTTCATATGTGACTTTTGAGACAACATTTGCAATGCTAAAATAAAGGTTTGTACAAAAATTCAGCTTATTCCGTTAGATTCCGAGGTGAAATGCTAAGATGACTGGACTATTATTTGTAAGTGCAAAATTTTAAAAGTATTTCGCGCCACTCACGTCAACCGTTAATTTTATGTCATTAAAAAACCTGTCATTTGTTATTTAAGTCGCCCTTGTCAGTTCTTTTTTGAAAGGTTGTTAAGAAGCGTTCATGTTTATGTACGAGGCTCCAGTGTAGAAGCATAGGCTGTCCTTTCTGTTACAATTATATTTCAAACAGTAAGTATTGAATTATTTTCTAATTATTGTCATTATTATTGTCAAAGTTTTTATTTTTGGCACATGACAAATGCGAAGGCATAACCTAAAATTTACCTTTCTTATAGAGAATAATATACATAGATGTCCATTCAGTGGACGTCTTTTCTGTGGACATAATTTACCCATAAATAGAAAAATTAAGGTTTGCATGCAATATCAATCTTATTTTAGTTTAGGATTTAACTAAAGCTTTACAAAAATGCTCTTGTAATAATATTACCAAACTTTTTAGTATTAAAAAAATAATAAACCGAAAGTGTAGTTATTTTGAGAATCACCCATGTGTCAAAATTTATAAATATTTTTAAAGTAAACAATGAAAACAGCTAAAGTTTTTATCATACTTCGGGGGCATGTATACCAACATAATAAAAAAAATTATGACAACCGGACCCTCCAAACCCGCGAAATTTAACAATTCCCGTTATTTTCTGAACACACCTCGTATATTTATTTAATTTATATTGGATAAAATATGAAGATCCTGCTATACATTTAATTGTATAGTTGGTATAGTATACAATACTAAAAAAGTTAAAATACGTTTGTACGTTACACAAAGTGTTAGTTTATTAAAAAAAAATTTATACTTTGGTATCTTTACTTATTTTATAAATATCAAGTTACATTGTTTTTTTATTTTTATATTTCGTGATTTAAATATGTAAATCAACAATTATATTAAGTTACATGATTAATATATTATAATTATAAACTAACTTAAATAATCTGTAATAATTAGTCAGACTAATTTAGTCTAGAATATGCGTAGGAAAAATTTTAATTACATGCTTTATTAAATAAGCCATAGCAAGATTAATGATTAAAAATATTTTTTTTATACAAAAATACTTTTATAGTTTTTTTAATTATCTAACTAAACTTAAGCATTTATAAAAAACAATAAATATACAAAATAGCAATAAAACACCTATAACAAAAAAATAATAAAAGTTAGTATTCAAATAACTTAAGTACTTGAGCATATTTAAATTTATTTGAACTGACAAATTCTTAACAATTGTTTACATAGAAAAGAAAAATGCTGCTAATTAGTGACGAATCATAATAAAATTAATTAATTATTATTGAAAGATTGCATGTACTTAATATAAAAATAATAAAAAATAAATATTATTCCTTGCTAACAATGCCTCTCACTCTTTGGAGGACAAATAAATTAAGAGCAAAAATAGATATTATGAATTATAATTTTATGAAAGTATGGATTGATTTTAATTATAACAAATTTATACTTTAACATACAGGGTGTCCTGAAATTAATGCACCATACTTTAACAGCAGATTGTACGTGCAAAAATAAGATAAAAAGTCCCTATAAACATAGGTCAAGAAATGCCTCTTAAGGGAGCTACAGCCCCCAAAAAGAAAGCCCCTGAAGATGGTTTTTATTTAATATCTCCAAAACCGTTAAAGATATAAAAGTGAAATTTGGGGAATTAATTAAACTTTTTATGACCAATAAGACGTAACAATAACAATTAAAAAATTTTTATGAGGTTTGGGTCAAATTGATAGGAAGTAGGGTTAAAACCACCTTAACTTATTTGTACGTATCTTGTACCAGAATTTGGTGTCAGATTATGAAATTTTATAGTTTTGCACATAAAAAAGGTCATCTTGTTGAACTTCGATAACATACACCGTTTTCGCATAAAATCGATTTGAAAATTATTTTACATGGCATAAAAATTCACAATTAAATCACAACCATAGAAATTGACTCGCGTGGTCCTTGGAATACGGCTGCCATGTTTAGGAAAAAATAGAATAATTCAAGACAGGTGACAGTTTCATGTAGTAAGTGACAGGGTGTTTCTACTTTTTTATTTATATTAGATAAAAACCATCTTCAGGGGCTCCCTTTTCGGGGGCTGTAGCTCCCTTAGGAGGCATTTCTCGACCTATATTTATAGGGACTTTTTTCTTATTTTTGCACGTAGAATCTGCTGTTAAAGTATGGTGCATTAATTTCGGGACACCCTGTATAAATAAACTGCATGCAAAAAATAGCAACAGTCCAAATCATTCAGACGTGTCTTCATAAAAAAAATCAACCCTTACTGCATGCAAAAAAATCTGAATTTTATTTCATAGGGTTTTAAAAAAATTAAGGGGTGTCTAAATTTGTCAATCTGGACTTTAAAATAAATAAAGGAATGTTTGGTAAACTTATCAGCCTCATAAAAAAATTTTGATAAGTAGGGACAGATTTAACGATTCTATAGAAGTTTTTTGTACTTGATATATGTTGCGGTTTGGAAATAATAAAAAACAAACAATTAACAAATTAAACATATAAATTGTTTTTCAATATTTATGAAACTGCCTGCTGTGGTTTTTTACGTTTTTATTGTTTTTTATGTTTAATTAACATTGTTGTTTATAAATGGTATTTAAAAATTTTATATACAAGGTGGCCCAAAATCACCGGACCACACGAAAGGGGTCGAATAATGGTAGGTATAATCGACACGCCTATAAGATTTACAAATGAAGTATATATAGCATATTATGCTATTATGCTATATATACTTCATTTCTAAATCTTGACACGCCTATAATAATTACATATAGCTACCAATATACCATTTATATTACGATGTTATAATATAAATGGAATATTGGTAGGTATAATCATTATAGGCGTGTCAAGATTTACAAATAAAGTATATATAGCATATATACACTGCCCGTCAAAATTAACGCATGATAAGTAAAAAAATTCTAACTCTAAAACGCCTTTACCAATCTTTATAAAATTTTGTATCAAAATACTTCAACTTATATCTCAGTTTACGTGTTCGAGGGCTTTTTAAAAAAGTATTTTTTAAAGCCCTTTAATTAAATAATAAAAAAACGCTCTAAAAATAAATTTTAGAGAATTTTTTTTAAGTAAATAAAAAATATGGTGTATTTTGGTTAGTATACCCTAAAAATTTTGTACAAATCAAACGAACAGTAACAAAGATACAGCGCTTCAAAGTCGGTAAAAATGACCCCTTTTTGATTATTTTGCTGAAAAATGGTAATTTTTGACGACTTTAAATCGTTGTATTTTCGTTACTGTTCGTTTGATTTGTACAAAATTTTCAGGGTTTACTAACAAAAATACGGTGTTTCACAGGATATTTTTTATTTACTTAAAAAAAATGTCCCTATAAAAGTTTTTTTTAGCGTTTTTTATTATAAAATAAAAGAAAGGACTTTAAGGATATTTTCTCGAAAAACCCTTGAACACGTAAACTGAGATATAGGTAAGTTAAAGTATTTTTATCCAACATTTTATAAAGATTGGTAAAGGCGTTTTAAAGTTGGATTTTTTTTACTTGTTATTTGTTAATTTTGACGCGCAGTGTACAAACATAAAATTATAAAACAATTAAAAGCGTAATTTGGTATAAAGTTTATAAAATTATTTTTAAAATTTTAAATTCGCACCTCTAGGAGTAGGTAATTTACGTCAATATTTAAACGATTAAAATAATTTAATGAATATCCAACCTAACCCAGAATCTACGGTCTTATATTTCAGGATTCTAATATCAACCCAGTAATTTGAGTAATATTTTCGGAAATTAAAAAAATACTCTATTAAAGTAGGCATTTCTTTGAAAAATAGGGATATATCTAGTAATAATAACACTAGGCAACAAATTTTAACTTAAAAAAAGGTCCTGGTTAAAAATAAAATTTTTCGATTGTTTATGACTGAAATAGATCCAAAATGTTTTTAAAAAAAATTTCTGAAGTCGGAAATAAAAAATAGGAGCACAGTATTTTGGTACCATTTATTGCATAGATTTAAAAATTTTAGGATGACGTTACTTTTAACTTATATTTCAGCATTCCATGAACAACATATCTGTACATATTGTAAAAATTCAAGGCATGTTTTTTTGATGTTTACTGTTTTTTATCGTTCGAATTATTTTGTTTACTTACTTTTATCGTTATTATTTAACAATTTTTCTTTGTAACATGGTGCTACCCGTATGGTCTAAACGAGACTTTGGAAAATTTTTTGGTCGCCGGATTTGCGTCGAGTAGGTGAAAATCTATTTTTATTACCGACCTTTTTTATTTACTTATTTTTATCGTTATTATTTAACAATTTTTCTTTGTATCATGGTCCTCCTGCCCGTATCGTCTAAACGAGAGTTCGGAAAATTTTTTGGGCGCTGGATTTGCGTCGAGCAGGTCAAAATCTATAGGACTGAGCCATTTTTATTACCGACCTTTTTTTATTGTTTACTAGTTTATATAATTATAATTATATAATATTTATATTATTGTATTATTGCAATTTTAATAAATGTGATGGAGTTTTCTGATAAATATTGGACTTTGCTGTGTTTGATATTAGACCGTGATATTTGATTCATTCGTAATTATTGACAGATCTGCCATAACATTGTGACGACACGGGCTCTCTTTAAGGTCATTGAAAAATTGTTTAAGAAACGTAGGAAAAGTTTTGTAATAAAAACTCCTATGCGTAGATTCCAAATAAGCAATAAAAAATTGCATATTCCAACCCCATTGTATTTTCTTTAAAAAAAGTTTTTTGTTATGTTTAATTGCAATGGACTAAAAAAAACTACCATATTTTTATTAATGAACTTCATTTAAATCTAATTTAATTTTAAATAAATTGAAAAAAATCCAAATTAACTGCAATTTTTTTTACATTGCAATTGACTTTTTTTAATGTTACCAATAGACCATCAGTAATATTTCCTTATAAATTCTGATTGAATGAAACCCTTTAAATAATTTTTCGTCTTTTATCATGTTTTAATGAACTTTTTCCTCCCATAAAAGCTTAATAAATCATAAAACTTGCTTTAAAAACTACATGGCAAAACTAGCAAGTACCTACTGAATAATATAAACTTGCAATACATTTACAAGTTAATTAACTAATCGTTTAATTTAGTTCAACATCCCACAGATAATTAAAATTAAATGTCAATAATCTAATAAATAACATAAAATTACAATAAATTTTAACTTCTAGGTTAACTCCAGCCTATGCTTTTGTTATATTTTACTATGCCACTCTATTTAATCACACCGGAAACGGCCCTCTATGGAAAATAGTCGCAGGAGGAGATTCGCAAGACTGCAAAACAAACTGGTGGACAAATTTACTCTACATCAGTAATTATGTCAATGCAGACCACATGGTAAGAAACCTTTTCTATTGTAAAATATGATTTTTTTGTCTTGTCGCAATCCATTTGTCAGTAATTTCGTTGTCGATCTTGTTCTGTTAAAAAATGTCAAATTTTGTTACCTATGTGACATTGGAATGAAATAAAACAAAATAATTACAATATAAATGTAATGTAATACAATAATGTAATCTGGAATAATACACATTTAACTTTGGAACCACTTTGAGACCACAGTTTTTGTTTATTTGTTTCTTAGTTAACCCACCTTTTTATATTGTTTACAAACTTATTTTTATTATTATAATTATTGTATTAATTAGGTAATTATGCTTGATAATATAATAGATGGATATGTCTTAAAAGATAATAACATGAATTAAAATGATTTAAAAATCTGACCTTAAAAATATACCACATTATAGTACTAATTGATTTTTAAATGTTTTATAATAATTTATAAATTTTTATAATTTTATGTTTATATTACCTAGACACGATTCTTAATTAGTGATTAAAAATTACGATTTTATATTTTACAGTATAGTCTATAGATACTATATTTGTTTATTTTAATAAAAAAACAATCTACCTATTAAATAAAAGTAGTAACAAAATAAGTCACAACCTTGCAAAAATGCACTTGTTTCAAATAAACCTACCAAATAATTCTAAAATTAAAATCCAGGAAATTGAAAATCATGGCACATTGTTAAATGATGCATTATAAAAAGCAACAAAATTATGTATAAAACCGTTTTATGGAATAAATTAAAATACATACATAGGTTATACAATCATAATTTATTAAAAGTAAAAAGCTGAATCATTGTTGCAAACAGTGTAGTTACGATTTTTATTCTTATCTTTTTACTAGATCATGCTTGTGCACATTCACTTCTGAATAGGTAGAAGTATACGTATATACAGATATAAAAAATAGGTCTTTATATAGTATACTCCATATTAAAAAGTCCCGCCTTCAAATTTAAATACAAGTATACTTAGTCGTCGCGTCATTAATGTCGAATGTCAAAAACCGATTTCTCGTCATACGGCTAACTTAACGGTTCCTTGGATTACATACGTAAAAAAAAACAACAATAATTGTAATGTCTGTGCTTGGATCAGAATTTGATGACGCAATTCGCCGCGACAACTATAATTGAGGTTATCTATCTGTCAGATAATTTTGTCTTATTTTCTAAAAATAATACAATATATATATATATATATATATATATATGAATATTTTGTGTTTTAAATTAAGAATTTTGTACATAGACAAAATTAGCGTTAAAATGATAGATAGAAAACCTCCATTATTTGTATTTAAATATCTAAGTACGACTTTTGATATATATATATATATTGATATATTTGATATATATATATATATATATATATATATATATAAGTGGTTTATAAACCCATTTTCACATAACCCCGTATTAGTTAAGGATAATGTAATAAATAAAAAAAATAAACAAAAAGTATTTGTGCTGCCTACTACCACTTTATTTTAAATTTATTTGAAAGACAAAACGGTAAGCTATTAAAAACACTTTAACACAGAGTATGAGAATGCGTAACATTTTTTATAACCTAAGTAATGTCCATACATGCATTAAAAATATGCAGCGGTTACTTTATTGACGTAGTGAGAGTACAATAATAATAAAAACTAACCATAAAGTATGACTGTATTTAATACAATGATAGTCATAAAGTAAGAATAAATTAGTAATAAACATTCTAAAAGAAGCAATACGTATTGTAGGTACCTTTACGCGCAATTTACCAACACAAATCAAGTAATTATAATTCTTAAACTTTAACTGGTTACCTGATTATCAGATTTAAAGGTGATTTAAAGAATTCAAAATTTCCAAATTTTGTCGAAATAAAACACTAACTTATTTTGAATTTTAGCCTACTGTGCGCTACTTCTATTCTCTCTTGCTGTAGTTTTAGGTATTAGTCATGCCACTTGCAAAATCTTCTCTTTGCTTTTGAAGAAAAAATTCTTTATTTTAGTCAGAGCATCTTTCGCAGCAACCTCAAACAAATCTTCGAGATAACTTCTGAACCTATTTTGAACACACATATTATTTTTACTGTACTGTACTTCTTAAGAACTAAATATTGTTCATACAGTTTCGATAGTTTTCTCACACATGAATTAATCGATGAAAAAAGTGACATTAATTAAAAATACCTACCATCTGGGCAACCTAAACTTTAGGTCCTAAAGGGTTCAAATTTGGTACGATAATTATTACTTAATCACATAAAAAAATTATCACAACACAACAATGTTTTTTTATCTATACAATTTGTATTTTATTTAAAGAATATTACTAATAATTATAATTAGTATTGAAATACAATATAAATTATAACATAAAGGATTACAAACTAAAAATATCTATATTTTTATATTTAATAGATATGTGCATACAATGTTGCAATGTCTTAAAGTATGTAATAAATATTGTTACACTGTAGAAAATATTTTTTATTATAAAAACTTATACCTACTTATTTATAATAAAATATATTTTATTAAATTTGATTATAATACTCTCTCTAAAAATGAAATAGTCAAAATTCTACTATTTGAATTAGTACAAGCATTTTTTACTGATAAAATAGTCGTTTTCACTTTTAAATAGTTATTTTTTACCTCGTAAATAGTTAAAGTTTGACTAATTTAAGATTAGTCACCATCTTTGACTTTTTCTGAGAGTTAGAAGTAACTAATTTCTTTAATAGTTTGCGGCCAACAACAAAGTATTATTTGAATTAAATGCATATACCTGGGCTCCATGGTTAAATGACCCATAAAAACAAATAAAGATGCAAAAAGTTTAGCTCAAAATAGCAACACAAATAATATATTCAACTTTAAAATATTATGAACAATATTTATTGACAAATAAAATTGATTTTTATAAAAGAGGCAGATGGCCGAATGGGTTATGACAACAGATTGACAAGCTTGACAAGTAACAGACCTGAGTTCAATCCCCGGCTGGGTCAAAATTTAAATCTACTAATTTGACTATTTCATTCAGTAGAATTATTAGTGACTGCTTTTTCGCTCTGACAATTAGTCAAATATGACTTAGAATTAGTTATTTTTGACTAATTCATTTTAAGAGAGCTATTAATAGGTTGTAGCTCAGAAATTTCAAACTTGTCTTTTGAAACAAACAAAACGAAATTTTTTTTTCAAGCGTACAATAATTTTTATATTATAAGACTCATAAGTCTTATGGAAAGACTTTATATTAATACTAGTTTAAAAGTCAAAATATTATTATATTATTAGTGGAACCTAACCTAAAAAATGATGTGACAGAATCTTAATAAATTACTTAATTAAATTCTTAAAAATATGAAATATAATCTGAAATGTATGCTTGGCGATAATATGTACCTTCTCCGCCTTGAATATAATGTACTATTTTTAATTAAATTTTTAAAAGACAATAATAGGATATTATCTGTTTTTTAAGAGTTTTTTTTATCTCATATATGACATACAATACATTCTTATCAAGTGAAAAACATGCTACATACAATTTTAATTTACACCTATTAAACTTTTTTACAAAAATGGCGAATGTGCCGGGATTAAAAGGCAATGACCACAGGTCTGTGGCAATGACAAATGCATAATGGAATTTCGATAATATAAAAGGTGTCCCTAATAATAAAACAACCAAGATACAGGGTGTCAAAGTTGAAAGTTTGTTATTAATTTTAATTTTTGTATAACGTTTTTGCACAAAATTCGATATTCGGGGTTTTTTCAGGACGGGAAAATTAAATTTCTAGGTTGTAGAGGGCGCTGTCTGCGACACTTTGCATACGTTTAAATACGTTTAAGTGTATTCACTTATCAAATATTACTTTTTTCATCTGTATTAGGAAAAAAGTTACACTTTGTAAATGTCGCTCCAATTAACCGTTTTCGAGATATGTTCGTTTAAATTGTTAAGTGTACAATTCGTGATTATTCGACCTCCCCGAATATTTTTCTTATTCTCAGTATAATTTTCTGCATTTGACCCATGGGTCAAAAACTTTTAATTTAATTTTCCCGTCCTGAAAAACCGTCTAGTTTAAAATTTTGTGAAAAAACTTTTTTTTTAATTATATAATAAAATCGAATACGATCTTTAAACTTTGACACACTTTATCTTGGTTATAACTTTTTATAGAAGTGAAATTAGATATATCGCATATTTCGGTCTCAGGAATATGTGGTAACATTTTGTACAGGCATTTTATTTGTATACTAAGCGACACTAAAAACGCAACGCCCATTTTGCTACTATATCTATAGATATAAGATATTGAGAAAAATACAGGGTGTTATAATTTTTGAAAATCAACTTTAAAACTATAATAAAAATTGTCCTAAGAAAGAGCAAACAAATCAATAGTTCACTACAAGAATTTTTTTTAATTTATATTTTTGTACCATTAGCTATTGGCCATTAGCCAAGCCGCAGCTACAGCAATGCTGATGTGTTCAATATTATTATATTATTAAGACATTTAAAATGTCTTGATGCTGATTCAGCATATTTAAAAAATATAATTTATAATCTATGTCACCTTAATACCTTTGCTTCCTTAGGACCTTATGCCCCAGTTTATCGATCGAAGTGTTAAAAAATAGGAATATAATATGAATGGTGTTATGCAACCAACTCTTAAAATTAAAAATAATTAGATAAATCATTTATCATAAATGTACTAATGTAATGACTTATTACTAATGAGGGCATGTAGGACCACCCCAAAAATATTTCGAAGCAAATGTGTAATAATCACCAGTTTCATTCCAACATTCAACAAGAAACCAATAGAAATTAGTGACTTAGAAATAAAATTAAAACGTTAAACCTAGAATTAACACTAAAGTAATTAAAGAACCACATAAAAGTTCGTATGCTCTTATCTCAGTATGCCAAAAGGGAGGGTTGGTACCTTGTTAC